TCCCACCAATGAAAGACAAGTGTTTTTAATACAAAAAACGCCAACCTTCAAATAATCATGTTCAGTTATGCACTCTACTTGGTCGGGAATCCTTTTGCATGAATGACTGCTTCAGTGCGGCGTGGCATGGAGTCAATCAGCCTGTGGCACTGCTGAGGTGTTATGGAGGCCCAGGATGCTTCGATAGCGGCCTTAAGCTCATTCAGAGTGTTGGGTCTTGCGTCTCTCAACTTTCTCTTCACAATATCCCACAGGTTCTCTATGGGGTTCAGGTCAGGAGAGTTGGCAGGCCAATTGAGCACAGTAATACCATGTCAGTAAACCATTTACCAGTGGTTTTGGCACTGTGAGCAGGTGCCAGGTCGTGCTGAAAAATGAAATCTTCATCTCCATAAAGCTTTTCAGCAGATGGAAGCAAGAAGTGCTCCAAAATCTCCTGATAGCTAGCTGCATTGACCCTGCGCTTGATAAAACACAGTGGACCAACACCAGCAGATGACATGGCACCCCAGTGACTGTGGAAACTTGACAATAGACCTCAAGCAATGTGAATTATGTGTCTCCTCTCTTCCTCCAGACTCTGGGACCTTGATTTCCAAAGGAAATGCAAAATTTACTGTAATCAGAGAACATAACTTTGGACCACTCAGCAGCAGTCCTAGGCGAGATGCTTCTGACGCAGTCTCTTGTTCAAGAGTGGCTTGACCTGGGGAATGCAGCACCTGTAGCCCATTTCCTGCACACGCCTGGGCACGGTGGCTCTGGATGTTTCTACTCCAGACTCAGTCCACTGCTTCCGCAGGTCCCCCAAGGTCTGGAATCGGCCCTTCTCCACAATCCTCCTCAGGGTCCGGTCACCTCTTCTCGTTGTGCAGCGTTTTCTGCCACACTTTTCCCTTCCCACAGACTTCCCACTGAGGTGCCTTGATACAGCACTCTGGGAACAGCCTATTCGTTCAGCAATTTCTTTCTGTGACTTAGCCTCTTGCTTGAGGGTGTCAATGATGGCCTTCTGGTCAGCAGTCAGGTCGGCAGTCTTACCCATGATTGCGTTATTGAGTAATAAACAAGGCTGGGAGTTTTTAAAAGCCTCAGGAATCTTTTGCAGGTGTTTAGAGTTACGTCGTTGATTCAGATGGTTAGGTTAATAGCTTGTTTAGAGAAACTTTTCATGATATGCTAATTTTTTGGGACAGGCATTTTGGGTTTTCATGAGCTGTATGACATAATCATCAGTATTAAAACAATTAAAGACCTGAAATATTTCAGTTGGTGTGCAATGAATTTGAATTATATGAAAGTTTCATTTTTATCATTACATTATGGGAAATAATGACCTTTATCACAATATGCTAATTTTTTGAGAAGGACCTGTATAAATAAACTGAGTTGAACAGACAATCATAAAAAAGAATATGAACTGAAAAATAAAATAAAATTATATATGTATAAAAAAAGAAACAAAAACAGCTAAAGCGATGTAAAATACTAAAAACAGGAACAGGTCTGTGTTGGTTTATGCCATGAAGTTAGTAGATGTCTGAAGCCATTTAATCACTTTAATATCCACTTTAAAGCTAGGAATAAAAAAAAAAACGTGTTTTGTGTTAGTAGAATTTAATTCTAACTTTGAAACTTATCCAACATTAATAAAACTTAACTCAAGTTGCCTTTTTGGACATGCATGCATATATTTGTACAAATTGTGCTTGCCTGTAGAGAGGAGATTATTACAGCTTCATATAAAATCAATTAGGATTATGATATTGGAATAGTATATGTATCGGCTGATATCCATATTTAGGTATCGGGATCAGATCGGAAGTTTAAAAAAATATGGATCGTGCAGCCCTATTAAAAACGGCCCAATAAATTAGCATTGAATTAGCTGAAAAAACTAAAATTAGCATTAAAACAGCTCAATAGTAGCTGAAATAGCAGAAACTAGCAAAAAGAAACTAGAAAAGAAGTTAAAATTTGCACAAGGAAGCTGGAAGAAGCTGAAGCAGAACAAAATGTGAAAGGCGCAGTATAAGAGTGTAAACACATCTTGAGATCTGAAGGATGTAAAATGAGCTCAATTTATTTTGTACGAGAAAAAAGTGATAGAAAAGGCTAAATATTTCAAAAAGCTAAAGTTGCACCAATACCAAAAGTCATAGAAAAATTGTCCTGAAAGAGCTGAACGTTTTGATTTATGATTTGTTGAAATAGTTTGAAAACTGCGGGACGAGTATCGCACTGAAAATGTCCGGAAGAAAAATGTATCACAGCAGAGTGAACACTTCATAAACATTCACACAAAAAAACTGACAGGTTTTTAGTGTTAACACTGCTAATGTCTTTAAAATGCAAAGTTCTGCTGCTAAAAGCACTTTCCATCTATGTAAACATTTTTGCAGACCTATCACAGCTTCATCTACACATTCTTCAAGAAACAATGCTGGGGCCTGCAGTAACTGTTCAGAAACAGCTAAAATACCACAACTACACACTGCACTGTTCATTCAGCCTCTTCAGCCACCACCTGAACATGCTTGTCGTCCACAGAAGCTAAAATGTCTAACGTCACAACATGTGAACCCAAAGACACCCGCAGATGTTCACTGTCCATGTCCTGATTGCTCACAGGAAGTTTAAACCCCTCGCCAGTGGTGCTCTCCAAAGTCAGTAGATCGGCTGAAAGAACGTTTTCTGTACATTAAACAGTATATGAACTTTACCACAGAAAAAACGAATTGCTGCATGAGAAAGAAACCTTTTCACTCTCTGATTTTATTAAAAGTGTTGAATGAATGAATGAAAGTGTCATAATCAGGTCAGAATGACATGAAGTCACAGCCTGTGTTGTTGATGTCACAAACCTGAATGAGCTTCTAGCAGGATGTTTTCAGCTGAGTCACATGATCCAACAGACCAGCTGCTGATCCTCATCTGTGAATTTCCCTGACCTGGATTTCCCCGGCGTTATTCTGGTCTATCAAATCCACATGCAGGTCTGAAAGTGTCCCACACAGTCAGATTAACACAAGCACATTTATTGTGTGAATTCTGAAGCATTCACACAATTCATAAATCAAAAGTTCAGCTCTTTCAGGACAATCCTGCTATGACTTTTGGTATATTGGTGCAACTTTAGCTTTTTGAAATATTGAACATTTTCTGCCATTTTTTTCTATGAATTGAGCTCATTTTAATCCTTCAAATCTTTAGATCTGTTTACAACCTTTCACTGCTCCTTTTACATTTTGTTCTGATTCAGCTTCTTTCAGCTTCCTTGTGCAAATTTCAACTTTTTTCAACTACTTTCTGCTAACCTGATGCATGCTCAATAATCCAGGTAGAAAAATCTAAAAAAATTTAATCTGGTCCTCTGGACATTCAAAAAAAACAAAACAAAGCAAATCAACAAAAACATGTAGAAACGTTTCGTCTCTCATCGGAGAGACTTCCTCAGTCTGAGGAGCTGTATTCAGCTCAGTCTCTTAAATAGCACCGTCTCAGAGTGGATCAACCAGTTTTGCTGCTGACAACCAAAACCAGCTGATCACATGCTCAAGAAGGACCATCAGCCTAACAATGCGTCATTAGCACCTGATGGCTGTTTACTATTCACAGAGGGCTGAGTGATACTAGCAATCACAGCATTGTAAGAGGGGGACAATTGAACCCGGAGGCCTCCACCCTTGTTTAACGATGGACGATTTCTTTTCACAAAGATGGCCTCCTTTACTCCTCTCTAAAACCATCGTTCCTCTCTGTCCAGGATGTGAACATCTTCATCCCTGAAAGAGTGACCGCTGGCCTGGAGATGAGTGTAGACCGCGGAGTCCTGGCCTGATGATGTTGATCTTCTGTGCTGGGCCATCCTTTTGGCCAGTGGCTGTTTTGTTTCCCCGATGTAAGACTGATCGCAGCCCTCCTGACACTGAACAGCATACACAACATTACTCTGTTATGAAGCGTCCCCACTAGCTCAGGAGCCAGGCAGAAGGAGAAATCCCACACAAGACAGGCTCTAGAGCAATGTGGATATCCTAACTGGGCCTTCCTGAAAGCAGAGAAGAAACCCAAACAGGACTCCAGTCAGCCAACAGGTGAAAAGGAGGAACCCAGACCCAGACCAGTGGTCATTCCGTATGTTGAGGGAGTATCAGAGAAACTGAGATGTTTATTTTCTAAACATAACGTCCCAGTGGCTTTTAAACCCCAAAATACATTACGG